CTGGGGCTAAACTAAGTGGAGGCTTAAAGGTGGAGGCTTAAAGCATTTTCAGAAAGTAAGTTGGCAAACAGCTCTACTGCAAATTGGAAAATTGCCAGCAAATTTCATTTGCTTAGTCTTGGCAGGAGATTTAGGGGCTGAAAAATGGGCCAGTAGGTACTTACACATGGTGGAATGAATCTGATATCAATAGCTTTGTGAAATAAAAATAGACATTTGGGCACTTGCTAAATTCAGGCAAGCTGATTTCATGGAATACCAATGGGCAGAAGCTCCTCAATACCCCATTGCAGAGCTCTTGATACTATCTCTTAACTTTGGTTAGGATTGATGCTGATACGCCCTTTAGCAGCCTTCAAGGTGGGGAGAGGAAGCACATGCTCTATAATCACCACCAAAAGGTACATCCAATTAAATAAATGCCATTTATTTAATGTTCAGGATTAATATCTATCTCTTCACTTGGTCCTTTTGAAAGACTTTTGAGCCTCAGTGTCCCAGAATGATTTGGCTGGCTTCCATCAGACTCCTAGTCAGGCTGTTGGCTGCCTAGTATGCTATTTTACTTGGAATCAAAATTGAAGTGTAAGACAAGAACTGACAAATCAAACATGTTATTCTTATTTTGCAAAGGTTTTTTCTCCCAAAGATATCCTTTATTTGTTCCTTGCTTCACATGTACTTGAACCAACCTGATTTAATTGCCATTGCTTGATACATATATCTCATTTATTTCTGATCTCTTTTCCAAGATTGATGTAATCAAATCTTGGCCACAGGCTAATGTTGGCTAAACTTGAGCAATTTTTTCCCCAGGATTAACCCACAGGGGTGTCTGGATAATGGCTACACTTCTGTAGTTTCCTGTTTGGATCTTTTCCATGGTGGTTTTTCTTCTCGTGTGTGGCATATTATTTTAAAAAATTAATTATAGATAAAAATAATTATGCTTAGGATCTTTATCCTTTTTAAACAAACACAGGGATTTTCAGTGGTTCTGAGATCTTTTAGCAATAGCACTTAGACTTATATACCACCCCATAATGCTTTACATCTCTGAGCATTTTACAAATGTCAGCATATTGCCCAATAATCTGGGTCCTCATTTTACTGACTTTGGAAGGATAGAAGGCTAAATCAACCTTGAGCCGGTCAGGATCCAACTCCAGGCTGTGAACAGAGTTAACCTGCAATACTGCACTCTAACCACTCCATTTAGTGATTTATTCATACATTCATTCATACACCTGTTCATCTCACATTTATGTAGCTCTAGGCTGCCTACAATAAAGCAAATAAAATACATAAACTACATAATATAAAAAGTAAAAATAAAACACCTAGAAGTTATGTGTTATCCACTTATTCACATAGTCAGGTGATATGCTGTGCCTGATGGCCAGGGCTTCAAGCTCCAGCTCAATTTAATTTAGTTTTGCATTCATTATAACTTGTGAAAGAAACAGCCATTTACTACTGTTATTACTATTACGAGATCCTCGTCCCTTCCCCCTTTATTTCCATTTTATATGAGAAAATTTGGGATAGTGTAGAAATGTTTCTGGAGATTCTCAATCATCCAGATCCTGGTTGTCCCAAAGGTGTTTTTACAAAAGACAATTGGACTTCCTTGGTTTTTTTTTTCTTGAAAACATTTTGCTTCTCGTCCAAGAAGCACTCATTTTTCAGAATTTGAAGAATTGCCACTGAAACTCTAAAGGAAACACCCATTCTCTATATTGATATGTCTGTTTGTGTGTTGGGGATGTGTGTGTGGAGCAGTTACAAAACATAAGCAGCTGCCTTAATGCTATATTATATTAGGCCATTGATAAGAAATGCTGAAAATGATTTTAGGCAGAAGTCTCTCTTTGTCCTGTCTGGAAGAACCAGGAACTGAATCTCAGAACTCCTGCATGCAAAACATTATTATTATGACAGAAAAATTCAATTATTCAAGAGTTTTGTTTTTTTCCATATTCAGAACAAAAGCTTGGCATAGAGAGTGGGATTGTTTTGAAAGTTCTGTGTGGTTTTGAGTGCTGTATCAGACATTTTGCTTTGTGGCTTATGATAGGTTGCCTTTCTTTCAGTTTTTCCATGTCCCTTCTGGTTGTGGGACTGCTACTCCTGGCTTGGACTGGATGGAATGGCAGAGGGAATTCCAAGGCAAACAAGCCCTTATTGAAGCACATGGCTCAGAACTGAAGAGCCATTGTGGAGTTTGCTTTAATGCTGGAAAACAAGGGCAGGAATTTTTGCCACTGTCTGACCTAGGTTGACGCTTGGGAGTGCATCACTTGGTTTCATTCATAAGCATGGCTGAAACTTTTGAAGTTGTATATATCAAGATTATAATTGTTTGGTTGATTTCTACATTATGGCTTGTGTGTGTGCCTGTGTATCTGTGTGCATGTTCTTGTATCCTGTTGATGTTGAGCTTCAGAATGTCTTTTCAAATAAAAGGTTTTTTATGTCAAATGCCCTCTGATATTCAACTTCAACAGGAACCAAGAGTATGCATGGAGCCCACACAAAATTATGCTCAGTAATCTTACTAAGTCTGTCAAAATATCTCTGATTTTGTTGTGATTTTACTCTTGTATCTTTTTAATGGTCAGCTGAAGAGTACCTTGAAACTAAAAAGAATTCTAGCTTGATTTGATTGATTTGCTGAACTTTGAATAAATTCTGCTAATGTTATTCTTGATGCTGAGTTTACAGAGTGCTGTGAAATTCAGTCTTTGTTCTGTGTGTGAACACATATACATTTACACACACTCTGAATATGGTGTGTGTGTGAATGTTTGCTATAATGTTCATGTAAGACCTAAACAATAGTGGCCCTGTTGTGAAAAGTGATAGAGTTAAGATTTTGTTTCATTGGAATATAGCCAATTTAAAATGATCTTCTTTGTGCAACGTATTATTCTTCCATTGAGCTATAATCCATTTTTGGCTGTGTTATGA